AGCGTTGAATACGACAGCGCCCCCGCCGCGGCCGACGGTCGCTTTACCAATTGTTTATTGTTTTCGCGGCACATAATTTATTTGTTTTTGATTTATTGCAAGTGAATACAATATTTTATCTATGACTTACTGAAAATGTTTTCTTTGAAGATGTTTGTCAATATATTCTGAATATTATATTGTCTGTTGATTTTTTCCTTACCTTATTTGTGGTTCGTCGCATATTTTTTTATTGTTATCTATGTATTCCTATATATATGTGTTTGTTTCATGTAAATAAATTGATTTACTTTATATTCTAGAAGCAGTAAAACGGATGGAATTCAATTTAAAGTAAAGACAGTCTCCTCAATTTCATCAATTTGCAAAGGTATAGGTTTAGATCACATTTGTACAATAAATATTCAAGGTAAAGTCGAAGGACGGCAACTCGCATCCAGAACAAGCACTCGACACTCGATTTTCGAGCGACTTCATGCAAATATAAAGGATACATGTATACGGTATCCAATACATATTGTGCTATTTTATTTACAAACCCTATGTTTACATTTACACACACGATACGAACGGACTTATAAAAACGAAATAGTATTCGACTAAAGCTTATAAGAACTAAGATAGTTTTTAGTCAGACCATCTTGCATTCTTAAGCATGTATCATTATTCTAAAGGCAGCTAATTAATATAAATTATATTTACATAGAATACAATTCGGCAGTTACTGGCTCGCAGTTGTTTGCAAATGATACGTAAACCAGCAGAGCTCCTGTAGCTGCAATTGTAAGTAAACAGCAATGAAACAGGAGCTCAAACATGGAATCCTGAGGGTGCATTAGCTGTAATGCAGTTAGGGCGGGGGCGTGCGGGGCGCTGGGGGAGCACGTGTGAGCCGCAAATTGCCTACGTGCCGCCCCCGCACGGCGCTGCACTGCACTTCACTGCCCGATGCCACAAATACTATTGTTTACAATCTCGTAAACGTATACTAACATAATAAGGCTTTGTAGCCCTTTTATTGAAAAATGTACCAAATACATTTTTACACGCAATAATTTATTCATATAAATAAAGGAAGAACAAAACTCGTTAATATGAAATAAAAAAAATCACGATTTTTCACGATTTTGTTTGCAGCCTTCCCTAGATATTTACACTCAGTACAATCTTATATCAATCAATTTTTTTCTAGTAATCATGTTTCAAAATACTATAGGAATCAACTCACATTGAACAGATATTTTTTTCTTGTTACATTTAAATTTTTAGTAGATACGTTAAGATAAAGGATGATATACGCCAATAAGCGGATCTGCGGAGCTGTGCCGAGTGTGGCGAGTGTGGCGAGTGTGGCGAGTGTCCGCCGCGGGAGTGGAACATAAGTAATTTGATTTGCCTTCGCCCCGTAGCTTTGTCCGGAGTAATTTTGTTTGTCCGCCTCTATGCGCGGGACTCTTCAAATAAATTGAGACGTATACGCGCGGCTGCTTTTCACATTTTCCTCCCGCTGAGCAAATTTACCAGATTATTTCCTTCGGAATCGCCAAGTTTTTATCCGGCCAAGTGTAAATCTATATCTTATGAAACACACAGACATTAACGAACAAGAAACATAGCATTGTCTTTATGATTGTATCCTACATCTTTTTAGATGACATGGTCATGTTATAGTAACGACGTTACCAGATTTTCTGAGTGAATTTTTAGAACAGATTCTAAACTCACTTAACGTTTGTTATATAGTTTTATAGTCTAACATGTGGCAGAGGACGCAGCTGTGGACGCGCGGTGTCAACCTTTGTGCCAGAGAATCTATTTCACGCCGACTGCACCGCCTCGTGTGCTCTCTTCCCATCATCTTGCTTTTGCATGTATTGTCTATTTCACAAGTGTTGCCGGAATATATTACAGTGAACGCGACAATTCAAAGAACAGTTGGTTAATACCGCGATAGGAATCGTAATTACAGTCTTAAATACTTTGCGCAAGTCCAATATTATTAGGAAATTAGAATAATCATCTAAATAAATTATTTGTCAAAAGCTACGTTCAATACGCAGTACCTTCTCCATATTTAATGATCTGCACACGGTACGTTAAATACTTTACTCTGTTTTAACCACAGTGAGTACAAGCTCTTATTATTGTAAAATACAACGTCACTTGTTTTTGATCATTATTTTATGATAAATTCTAATCATCACACCCTCTATGAAATTTACATCTTACCTAATTCTCTAGAAACCACATCGTATTACACTGATACCATTTTTAGTATCTGTGCTCTAGACATCGTGTCTCAGACAGATTAATAAAACTAAAGTAAGTCTTTCTCGGCGCAATTTTAATTTTTCACTTCAAAAAGCAAATCAGAATAAGAAAATTAATGTCATGACTTTGTAGGCTGGAAAATATGCTTTTGGACTTTTAAAACTTATCTTTTAAATAACTACTTTTTACGACGCCGTTTCTTTTTATGTTTAAGTAATATATTTAATAAAAAAAAAACTACTATGATGTTGATAAGAACTTGAAACATCTTGTTTCTAGTCGAAATAATAGACCTAAGACCTTACTTAAAGATTTATTTATTTACTCAACATGTCGGTTGGCAACCGTGGCGTCGCGATGCAGGTTGACTCCCCTGAGCACGAGGCCGCGAGCAGGCTGGGCGCGCTCGCTGGCAGCAGGCATGTCGTGCGCGTCTGCGTACTGCACTAGCAGCATGCGGCGCGCACGCGCAGACAAGTTGGCCGGGCTGCCGTGCACCAGCAAGTAGCTGAAGATGACCACATCCCCACACCGAGCCAACACAGGTGTCGACTTCTCGATAGGAAATTTAGTCTGAAACTCGAGGAAAACTCTTGCAAATACTCTCCAAATCCTAGTCAGAAGTTTTAAAAATAATGCCTATGTCTTACCTGATCAACATAATGGAAGTGCGATGTCTCCCGTGCACCGACGTCTTCTAGCGGCCCCAGTCGATGCGAGCCCGGGTACACGCACAGTCCGCCATTCTCTGGCGACGAGTCATCTAAATGGATGAACGCTGCCACCATAGAGTCGTTCTTGTATGGGAAATATTGGTAGTCCTGAAATGCAAGATTAAAGAATAATGTTTATGAAGAGTTTGTCTATAAAGAGATGAATTAAAGCTTCAACTAAAATTAACCTGGTGCATGGGATATGAGGCGCCTTTCTCCGGCGGCTTGTAGTGAGCTTTGGTGTGATGTAGGACGATGTTCTTCGTCTCCATGACGTCCTGCAGCGCGTCCAGCAACTTGTCGTGGTACAGCAGTTTCCCGAACACTGCGTGGTGCATCTGCAAGTTGTGGATTCCCTTTACCTGTAACATTGTTCACGAAAATTTTAGTGTAACTTAAATAGACAAAAAATATATAAGTTTGAAAAATAAGCGCACTATTAAAATATTACTGTGTACATTCTCAAACATTCTATGTTTATTAATTACATAATCTAAAAAGCATTCATCCTAGATTAGTTTACAAAAGTAATATAAATATTTTAACAAGACATGTTTGATTAATTTATTACTGACTGTATACGGGCTGTCACTTTTCCTGTTGGTCTCGTCGCTGCCGACCCATGAACTCTCAGTCTTGGCCTGGTTCTTGCGGCGGAACAGGTCGTCATACTCCGTAGACAGCTCCTCCAACTCCTGATCGGTGAACAGGTTCTGAATGAGGATGTAGCCGTTGTCCTTGTAGAACTGTTTCTCCTCAGCTGACAGTCTGCCCATCTTGATACTGCCAAAGATAATATACTGTAGGCTCATCATTGATTACGAAATTACATTATTAGTTTTATAGTTAAACACAATTTTTAACTTGTCAGGATACTATAAGAGATTAAAATTCTAAATATTCATATTTTAAAGTATATCAGCCATCGAGGACATGAGGAATGTTTAGAATTTACATCAAATGACACACGTACTCACCGAAATGTGACAATTTTACATAAAAACTAAACCAGTAATACTAGCAGAGACACTTCATACGTTTATACGTATAGTTAAACGGCAGTGTACATCATTTATCTCTTATAACTTGTAATATTGTAAACATAATTTGTTTTAGTTGACGATGTGATTAATTTGTGCGTTGTCATTGTTATTGCTGTCCTCTTGTTACATAACTGTTACTCTGTTTCTGTTGCAGTGATACTTATGTTAATAAATATGGTAGTCTCTGTTTTATCAATGGAGATGTAAGGGATATCAATATATGATAAATGCCAGTAGAGTTCTACGGTTACAAATGAACTTATTTCTAAGGATTTATCAAAACAAGTGTCAACAATCTTCACCTAAATGTGATGTAGTTTTCACAACCCTGTTCATTTACATTTATTTATTTTTAACTTTAAATATTAACAATGTTGCTTTTAAACATTATTCTTTTTTCGTATTTAAATATCTGCCGCCCTTTGCGTGTTCCATTAGCGTCGCAGCCGGCATTGCTCTGAATTTTAAATTATCGCAAAATAATTCAACCACAATACAAGTCAGTGTTATTTTACAACAGTATATAAAACTGACGACACTAAATAACGACAGATTCTTGATAACATATGGTTAAGATAAAAATTATGACTCCATAAATAACAAAACAGATAAAGGTTATGCGAATAGCATCAGTAAAGTCTGAAATAACATTTAGCAGTTATAAATAACAGCGATAGCAGTTATAACTTTATAAATAGCTGAGCGCTGTAATAACGCTAAATAAATTAACGTATTATTGTAATCTATTGTATTTGGCGTTCACTTGCGAGCGACAACAAGCAGCAACAAGCGGCGCAATAACTTACGCAAATTGCTCACATTTCTCAAGTTATTGTGTTTAGTAATTACCTTGTTAGTTATTTGGATAAATGGTGACCAGGCTGTAGACATAAATATGAAAATTTCCTGCAAATAACGTAGCAACGAATTATAAAGTTAAAGCAAAATGTTTTCAGTTTTATGGAATAGAAATTAAATTTAAGAAAATACTAAGTGTAAAGTATTTCAGACGTACCAAACATTTTTCCAAAATAAGAAGCGAAGTTATTTACGTTTGCTTTGAAATAAAGTGTTTTTGAAACGAAATACAGTTTTTTTTTTCCTTAAAGGATGTTAAACCGGGATTACGGGATGCGGGGTGCGGGGTGCGGGGTGCGGGGTGTGCGGGAGGGGAGGTACCGCCGCTGGAACAAGCGACTGACACGACAGGTACTCTGGAAGTGTTATATTCACTTAAGGAGCTTTGCCCTAACACTAGGTCTCTCGCAACTAACACGTTTATAGTGAAACGATTTCAGTTAAAAACAATGTCACGACGTAATAACGTAATAGTTTACTAACGAAATAAGTTGGATTGAATTATTATTAAAACCACCTACGTACTCAAAGATCTCTTGATCTTAATTTATTTTTATTGGAAGAAAAAAGCTTTTCCGTGGCTTATTGTCTCTACAATATCTCAACAAGTGCGTAAATAAATCCCGGATTACCTACAGTAAACAAATAAAAAACAAGCTTACTTTTTATCTCTATGAAGATTTTCTCCTATTTAATAAATTTAATAATCTCTCGACGCCCACCTGTCTGCAACAAATTGTTTTGGAACTTAACAATGTTGCTAAGATTTCCTCCAAGTTCTTAACATCTGGGATAATTATAAAGTACAAAATTCTTTAAAAATACAGTTTTCGTTACTTTATCTTTATAAATAGTTACTCAGATTACAGAATGCTTAAGAAATTTTCTGTGTGAACAGGTGAACGAAATGATGCGAATAAACTTCAAACGTATATTTTTCTAGTCGTTACTCGTGACTTCGTCCGCGTGATAAAAAATATAGCCTTTGTTACGCACAGATAAGTTACCTTGTTAATAGTGCAAGAATTTTTAAAATCGGCCCAGTAGTTTTTACGTGAATCAAATACATACAAAAATACAAATCCTTTCCTCTTTATAATATTAGTATAGACTTACAAATGTCACCAACGGTCAAGGCATAATGTGTTATTGCACACGGTGTTTAATCCATTTAATACGTCAGAAATTTGACCACAGACATAATTAAAATAACATGACGTCACATGTCACGGTTACTCGAGATGTAAATCTTGTTTATTTAGATAATCCGATTTTTACGAATAGAGGGCTGTAATGAGCAGTCTCTCAAAAATGTATAAAGGAAAAAGTTCACTCGCAAAGGACGTTAATCCGGGATTACAGCGCGAAGCCTTGCGCACATAATGAGGTGTAAATTTAAGAAGCGCTTTAAGCCTGTGCGCCTACAGCAACATACAGCGCTTAAAGCGACGTATTACCTGTACATAAGCAGATTTACTTACGTACTTATTGTTCTTAGCTGAATATTTAATAGCACTAGGTGCCGCCGCTGACAAAGTTCACACACGCCCGCGCAATCGCTGGCCTTGCGCCTCGCCGGTATCTCTTGAATGTATACATAGACAAACGAAATAGTAAGCTTCTGTAATCTTTATTATATCATATTACTATTTTATGTATAAGCCCATTTTATTTAATTTAGTGTTTTTAGCAGAAACCTATTTCTAACTGACACAAATCTGAGTTACATTGGCCGTTGTTATCACTTGTAGTGTGTTTACCACTTACCTTGGAATAAATAATATTTTTCTTAGAAAATCCAATAAGAAAATGTAAATAATTTCGTTACCTGAATTAAGTAGGCCAGTAAATTAATTTACAAATTGAATTAGTTATCATTGTAATTTTTACGCACCTCAATGACTCGTAATACTTTCGAAATGTTTGTAAACTTATACCAAATACTAAAAGCGATGTTACCCTCATTCATAACCCCTTACAATCTAACAGGCCACCAAATTTTCATCAATTACAATATGGAATTCAATTGTGGCCGTATCATTAAACGCTTTTACATATTTAAATGTCGTTTCAGTATTCCACCGATAGTTACGAGGATAAATAATATCTGTATAAAATATGAAACATAATACTAGTTGATTCAGTAATGAAGCTCACAGTAATGTTTACCTCGTAACGTAACTCGATCAGCTCTCGAACTAACCAAGAAAGAGAGCAAACAGTCGATACAACAGTAAACAACCTCCGCCTCCGTAATAAATACCACAAACCTCGCAACATTACATAACTCACTTTTATTCACTCGAATAACCAAATGCCTCGTATCGAGCATAAATCAAAATCTATGCACATAAAACAAGTAGAGTTTGCAAAAAAAAAGTACAATCTATTACATTCGAATTACACCCTTATTCCTTAGTGTTAAGGTCGCTGCAGTTGTGAAGTAACGGCAAAGCTGTTTATGTATATCTTAAGAATTTGTTCAGAGAATAAGATGATCCGCAATTCACTTTGTGTAATGGGGTCAGCGAGGTCTCCAGTCGGTGGGGGCTCGCGCCTGATCATGAATAAATGACACGCTTTAGAAGGAATCAATTGCCCGACCATCAGCAAATCTCTTTGAACATCATTTTGCGGGTGAAATTAGAAAGCGCTTTATGCTTTAAAATACAAGCTTTATGCAACTCTCGCTACATTGTACCATTTTACAGACCAGACTTCCTTATTACACAAAAAATAAATGTTTATTCTTTGAGATGCGTTAGTCCGGTACCCTACGATGTTATGAAGCTGCCTTTCTCAGCGCCCAACGCTCCGATTGGCCTCCGCTGCTTTCGTATGCCAAATGGTGCCACCATTATAATGGTACAATGCACAACACAAAGGCCTTTATGTTAGTGTTGACTAAAATGCATTTAATATTAAAGCAGGAATTTTCTCTCGAATGTAAAACGATACCTTAACGACAAGAAAGGTAAGCAGTTAGAAGTGGACTTATTAGTGTTATGTTTACAATTATACTCTCTACTTCTAGTATATGTTATGGACAATGCATTGTAATAGTTGGATAATTCTCTGGACATCTCAGTACATAAAGGCGGTATTGTTTTCACTTGAAGATGTTTTAAATAATGAATATGTAGACGTCTGGGGAGCTCTCATCTTTGTGCTACATCACAAAACTGTGACTGGGATATTTTACTTCCTCACATCACACCGTAGCTACACTCATTAAACTAAACAATTAAAATATATTAATATTTACAATTCGATTGTGAAACCAGTTTCAATATTGACTTAGAAAAGATGTTTTTAAAATACATTTTGAAATCGTTTCAATTTAATATTGAAATATTGTATTTTTTTTTCCACTGATTCTTTGCTTGCATAAAATAATAATGAGGTGTGACGGTGTGAGTGGCGGCCATTCATAAAGACATCACTCGAGTGACAAATGACGCTGGCTCTAATTATGTTGTCCCATTTCTCTACACTTCTCAATGAAGCGGAGCTCAAATAAATGACATCTATTCATATAATGTACTTATTAAATCGGATTAAAAAAACCATAAAATACAGTTACATATGTATAAACCATAAAACATATTCGTAATAGAACTATAACTACATTACTGTTTAACTGTATGTCATGTTTTGAGCCTGTACTTACGTGTCATGGGCCCCGCAAAGTGAAGACCAACGTAAAAACAAAAGGGACACTCCTATTTACATTTAGGAATCTATTAGAGTAAAAGGGTTCTTGTATCATGCATTAATCAATCCGAAACCTCTCTGATATTGTGTACACTATCAAAACACGGTACAATGTAAAATCACTCTTGTTGAATTTCCTTTAGGTTTAATATCCTGTACCTCGATAGTATCAAGATATGGATGGATATAATATTTTGTACGACAGATATTGTTCCTTGTGATTTTGTTTTTTCTAAGATATTGCGCTGAAGATATGATAAAATATATGAACAAACATAAAACATGATGGTAACTATTAGTGTACACTTTGTAAAGAATGGCTTAGAATAAGAAATGATGTATTTTGAACTACTTTACATGTCAGCAACAAAATGATTTTACAATGTTTAAATAAAGTGATGAAAAGTTAAATTACTCTTATTTTTCCCTCATTTAATAACGTGTTATGAAAATAA